GTTAATGGTGCATCTCCCAAATGTCCCGGCAGCAACAACGCTTTATTGGTTCCGCTATCGGGACGGAACCAATAATGGAGAGCCCCTATTTTATTTGAATAAAAAAAAAATGGTCAATTTTAACGTTTTATTTAGATTACAAAAATAAATCGTAATAAAAATAATCCTATTTATGTTTTAAAAATTAAGACCTACGAAAGACTGATTTAAGACATTTTAATACCAGTTAAGGCCTTAGTTTTATTTTGAAGAATTCAATGCCTTTTAAGACTTTTTAAGGACCCGCAGGAACCCTGATCAATAAAGGCTAAAGTTGTGCTTAGGTTGCAGCTCTCTACTGTACCTTGTGCCGTGGGTTGGAGGTGTTCATGACGCTCCGCAGCTCCTTGCCTGTGTAAATCACAACCCCCACCACCGTGCCTGGGGTGAGGGGAGAGAAAAAAGCCAAAAAGTGCCTCAGGGTAGCAGACTAAAGCACCAACATCAACCATAATATGTCAGATAGATGTTTCCCAGACACATAATCCTGACATGAATGGACTTTTCTAAAATGAAGAAAGTCAGATTTCCAATTGCATAATGGGTAACACATGTTAAAGCGGGTTAAGGTGGATTTACTCTCCTTCAGGAGAGAAAAAAAAACACGTCTTTTTTTTTAACGATTCTCCTCAAGTTTCACACAGCGATTCATAAATGAACAATGTTTTGCCTCTTCCAGTAATTTTTCACTAAATATTGGATGAGCAGTCCCAGAAGCAGCAATGACTGGGGTTAACTTGCTGAACTATTGCTGTTTTATTGCTGTAATACGAAGCAGACGTTTACCAGAAGCGACGACCGTGCTGGCCCACAGCGTGTTCTCGATGCTGAGGCTCTCGTTTACCGGGGGGTCTCCGTCTTCCTGCAGAGGTTTAGCAATAAAATGGTAAGACTTTTTTTTTAAGAAAAAGAACAAACATTGAGCTTTTCTAAAATACATTACATGGATAACTTATAAACAAATAATAAAAAAAAGCATTTTTAAAAAGAAGAACACCAGAATTAAATCCTGTTTCTTGTGGGTGTTAAACTCAGAGAGAGAGACTGTACTGACTGCTGCAGCTCCCTTACTGTCTGTGTCATGTGACCAGGGAGCAGTTTGTTCCACTAGAAATTTATTCCACCCAAATAATCAACACATATATAAAAAACAAGAAGATGCTAGCACAACCTACCACATCAGCAGTTATATTTAAGTTAGATGTATCCAGGATTCAATTCTATTGCACTTTCCAGTTCACCAGATCATCCAGTCAAATTGATACAAAGTTTTCTATCTAAGGAAAACCAGTTGATTGCATCGACTCATCGACTGGAAGGTAATCCTTTACACTTATCATGCTTGTAGCGACAGTGGAGAGGAAAAACTCCCTTTTAACAGAAGGAAACCTCCAGCAGAACCAGAACCAGTGTGAGTGGTGTAGTGAATTAAATACTGCACTTTGAATAGAATATAGTGGATAAATGTTTCACAATAAATACATTTATGTTATAAAGGCCAAAGAGTCCAAAGTGTGTGCTCCAACATGGATAAAAATAGAGCAATGTGTGGAAACTGTAATTCTATCTGTTCTATCCAGTAAATATTGACATAATTATCGTTACATTTAGGTGAAGAACTGTTTTCAAATAGACGTTAGACAGAAAGTTTTTCCACCAGAAGGGGACCAATGTTTCATCAGTTAAAGCTGCAGATGGTGTCGATGTTTGTCAGAAGGTGGCTAAGAACAGAGAGGAAGCGTTTACCCTGGTGAAAGTTCCAATGAAGTTATGAATGTCGATGTTTGGTTCTTCTGCGTACACGTATGATCTGATCTGGAGGAGGTCCTGTGGGCATAAAGAAGGTTTAAAAACTGAAGATAAAGTGAAGAAAAATGCCTCAAAAGTGAGTTTACTACTTTCATTTTTCTGTGATGCTGGTTTTCCTTCCGTTTGAGCGCCATAAGCATCACGTCATGTGACTAAGAAACCGTAACGGGATTGGCTGGGTGTTGGACGCCACAATCCATTGCTAATGTCTGTGACCTGAAGTAACCCTTCCCTTTTTACACTGAATTTAGACGCCGAATTTAAGACGGTAAAATAGAGCCAGTTGAATCTCAGGAGGCTGAAAATATTGAGTTTGAATTTTGAAAGGTTGAATTTTTTTATATGCAGATTTTTTTTAACACTGAAAAATAAGTATTTAATGTAATCACTTTGAAATAGTAATGTGAATTTTTTAGCTTGAAGAGAAAATAAATGAAATTTCAACTGTGTAGAAATAATGACAATGAATTTTTTTTAGGTCAAAAATGTGTCTGAATATATTTTAACACTGAGACAGTAAGTACAAAAAAAACAACATTAAAATTTCAGTGGCGTTTTTAATTCGAAACCCAGCGACACAGATTTACTTCCATAGAATTCGGTTCCAATATTGTTGTAATAAAAGAAAACAACTTGTAAAGAGAAACTGGACATAAAAAAAGTAATACAGAAATTAATCTTTGAAAATGCTTTAATCAGAAAACTGTTGTTTTCTTTGATTATGTTATTTCAAATTATTCATTTTTCAATAGATTTTCATATCATATCTATTTTTAAAGGTTTTTACTTTTACATTTTGTTCTTTTTTTCAAAATTTTTGTTTTAATTAGTATTTTTCAGATTGAGTTTTACGAATTGCATTCTTTGCTAATTGCGTCCTACAGATCGTTTTCACTCCTTTTTAACCAGTAAAAATGTTGTTGCTAACGTCCAGCAGACCAATAGAAATGTGTCTCTTCCTCACTACAGAGGGAAGCCCGCCTCCAGGGGTGAAGAAAATGTGATCTATAAAAATATCTTTTGATATAGAAATCAAATGGTTAAAACATTATCTTAAAAAAGAAATAATAAAAAAAAAAATTATAAAATTTGTAAAAAAAAAAAAAAAAAAAAAAAAAAAATCTAAATATGAAAAATCACTTGAAATAAAAAAAAAAAAAAACATTTGAAAGAAATAGCAAAGTGTCTCCAAAACTGTTTTTCATTAAAACNGGGAAGCCCGCCTCCAGGGGTGAAGAAAATGTGATCTATAAAAATATCTTTTGATATAGAAATCAAATGGTTAAAACATTATCTTAAAAAAGAAAAAAAAAAAAAAAAAATTATAAAATTTGTAAAAAAAAAAAAAAAAAAAAAAGAAAAAGCTAAATATGAAAAATCACTTGAAATAAAAAAAAAAAAAAACATTTGAAAGAAATAGCAAAGTGTCTCCAAAACTGTTTTTCATTAAAACATTTTTCAAAGTTTTATTTCTGGAATTTTCGTTGACCAGATGTGTTCTTTGCAACAATAATGGAACAAAACTCACTCCATACATATGCCTCTTTTTCCTTTTTACACTGCCCATCTAGGGGATCATTTCATCACATTTGATTTACTTTTTAGACAAAAAGAAAATGTGCTTAAAATGACGGATTTTAAAACTAAAACACATTGAAATTAGGATTCCCTTAAATTTTTACAGAATATAAAATCTTGAGTGAGTCCCTGAAAGCCTTCCTGTAAGTAAAGGCCTGATGTGACTCAAGCCTTTAAGTTACGTACTCCTTGGATGTGCCGACCACTCTAAACTCGCCTCAAATGACCACAACGACCATAATGAAAGACCTGCTGCTACTTTAGGAAAACAATCTCCGCGCACAAAGAATCCTGTGTTCATCGGTCAGAAAGGAGACGAGACTAAACAATGGCATGTTATCAACATCCTTTCAGCGACTCACTGCGGCAGTGGGCAGCCTCTGGGTGCAGGCCACTGGGAGGCGCAGCTTCCAGTCCGTCTCTCCATCCAGCTGGTCAGTTCGCAGGAAGCAGGACCCTGAAGGAGACGTAGCATATCACAAGCTCACCTCTAGAGGGCAGCAGAAACATTTAGCTAAAGAAAGGACCTCATTGGATCCTTCTTTACATGTGAATGCACCAAAAAAATAATAAAATACAAGTCCCATAGTGCTTCTAAATGTTTAGGATGCAAATAAAAAGTAGGCTGAAATTAAAAAATATGACTGTTTGAATGAACAAACATTGCAAACCCTCTCTCTCTCTAGCGTGCGTCACCCTGCCTCAAACTCCCCAATCACGGTTTAGGCCGTTCCTAATTGACCTAATGGCCTCAACATGGAAGAAACATAACCAAACACTATTTCCAGAAAAAAATATTTTCTTTTCCTGGAACAGGAAGACGCAGCAACAAACATTTGTTTTTTTGTTGTCCTTCAGCATGTCTGTCCAATCACTGAGAGCGTTTGTTGTTATCCATATTTGATTATTCAGATGAGCTACTGAGGCATCCTCGCCTGTCTCTTGTCTCTTTGCATTTGATGTTGCGAGTCCCTTAATTTTCCTTTTCATTATCTCCTTATTTGAAAGACAAACACTAAGCCGGGTAAGGTTGTGCACATCGCATCGTTTTGTCTAGATGGAACATTACTTTACTGCCATACACATTTTGAGCAGTAAGTTACATGCAAGTCTTATAATAATTTCTATACGGAATTTTAAAAAAGTAGTGATTTTATTTTGTATTTCAGTTTGATATGGAGAGAAATAAAATCATAATTCTAATTTTTTTCTCCAAATTTTGACTTTAATCTATTAAGCCTAATTTTTGTTTTTTTCCACAGCCCCTAATCTTCTTCTGTAGAGAATAGTCAGAAAAGTAA